TCTCACGTTACGATTGGTCTAGAGAAATTTATAGCTAGTGGTTGTCAACATTTTCACTTATGTAAAAGTATATATGACGTTTTGAGAAACGTCTGTACGTGATGGGGAAAAATGGATATCATTTTCGGATTCTGCGTACAGAAATTACTTTAGAACATGTAAACATTTCAAAACAATAAAACCATCGCAGGCCTGTGTAATTAATGCAACAGGGATAAAGAAATACATAACATAAACTGTTTTAACACCATAAAATTACTTAGGAATGATAAAAACATTTGAAAATTGATACACATGCTCTTTGTGAACAATTTATTAGCATGATAACTTCACCATTAAAACCAATATCACTATGAAACTTTGCACACTTGTCGATATTACAATCTCCTATAGCTTGTAATTTTTGAAAATTCAAAAATCTTTATTAATTGTCTTGTTATGAGTCTAATTACCACTAACGAAGGTATTGGTTAAAATTAATTGCCCATTAACTTTGCAGAAAATTTGCAAAGTTTTAAATTCAAGCTATGAGGATCTTCACAAAGAGCATGTGTATCAATTTTCACATTTTTTTTATCATTCCTAAGTAAAGTTGTGGTGTTAAAACAATTTATGGTATGTATTTTTTTATTCCTTCCGTATTAATTATGCAAATGACATATATAACTGAAAGCATGCTTTCAGATATTGCGATAACATACTTTTGTTTTGTGCTGAACTTGGAGGTTATAAGAAGTGTTTAACAATGTTTTCCACTATCTAAATTTGCCCAGTTTTAATTGTCAGTACTACTTGACACCTCTATTGCTTTCACAAATATACTCTGTCTATGGCAAGCGAGAAAAACCTTTCGAGGAAATATTGTTAGTTAGGGTTTCAGTAAATGAGTTTCTCAGTTATCAATGCAAGTTTTTTTATTTCTTAAAAATAAACAGATGTATATAACGGTGATAAACCTTAACCTTTTATATTATTTTTAATTAATTATTATTTCATGTGTCAATTAACGTTTTAAATATTTTAAAAAGTTTGATATTTGTGTGTGTCGAACTTAAGATCCAAATCACAAAATGGCTACTCTATTGTTCGGCTTTGTGATTTGAGCTACTCAGCCTACCGAAACTGTCAAGATTAAAATAAATTTACGAAAAAAAAGGAACAGGCTTTAACCTTTGCTGCGTAATCATCAAGGTAAGCTTTGATATTGTGGAGATAATTAGTAGCAAATAATTTACTGATAAAAATGTTTAGGCTAGAAGTAGAAGGATTAGTGCTAGTACTAGATTATAGATAGTAAGAGTAAGATAGTAATAGTATTGAATTTGAGGGCCTCACCCTGCGTACCTAACACTGCGAATCATATTCGTAGAGCTTGTCAACATTTTGGAGTGTGTTTAGTTTGGATTAAGATTAGAATTTAGAGCAAAAGTCAAACCCATTGTTTTACTTTAAATTTTAAATTGGATATATAACACACAACAACTGAACAAGCGACCAGTTTGGTTCGCCAACTTTCAAAATTCAGTTCCAAGGCTGTTCTTGCAGTTGCACCTTAGATAAGAAAAGTAAAAATTTAATTAAAAATATCAAGGAAAAATTTATTTTCACCATACTTTCATACAGTGAAAATAATATGATTTAAATGATGATTATGATACTTTTACTTTTAGTGCTTTTTTTTTTTTACCATACACTGATATGGTATTTTTACTGCACCATATAATATTAATAATTTCATATGAATAAGTAGGCTACTTTCATTATAAGAAACCAAATAATATCTTGAGAAGGCAGAAATACAACTGCTTGATGGTTTTAGTTACTTCATTATTAGCAAGTATCTGAGTTGCAAGAAAATCCATTAAGACACAAATTTAAAATTCAAAATATAACTTATTAACCTTCTATTATTCAAATAGTTCACACAACTCTCCAAAAAAGTATGGCTAAAAATCGTGAAAAATGTATATTCCTCTTCCATGATGGGCTCTGTTGGGATCCACATATTGCTCCATATTGGGTAACTTTGTTGTTCATAGTATTTTTTTTTATAAATCACACTTTATTAGTGAATGAAATTACTAAGGGTGTTAGGCAATTTCATTTTTCAAACAGGCTAGTCAGCCTTTGGAATTGATTGCCTTCAGACTTTGTAGATGCAATGTGATTGGGAGAGTTAAAGAGAAGGCTTCATGAGTACCTGGGAAGTCAGGGCTCGATATAGGCATATAGATGGGTGATTGATGAATTGAGTCTGATTACCATGATGGGCTAAGGTCCCTTGTTGTCCCTCAAAATGTAACTTGTAAGTGTAAAATGTTCTTTTTAAAATTAAGCCAAATAACTTCAAATGCTTACTTTTAATTTCTGAGTCTTCACACAGTAAAAATAACAGAAACAACTACTTGTATAAGTGCTATTTATATTATATGATGAAAATAACTACTTTGCAAATTTAAATTCATTCTTTAGTTTTCATAAAATGATCGAGTCCTGTTGTAAGTAATCTCCTATAAAGTGCTGACCTCTACTAGTGTTGACAGAAACTCGTTCAATAAGCTATTCACTCCATCAGAAAAATTTCTATCTTAACTGAAGCCAGCCTTTCTTTTCACAATCTTAAATTTATGTCCTCCTGTTCTGTTATCTTCATAGTACAGCACACTGAAATCAAAAGACCTTATCATATTGGTTCTCTAGATAATTTGTAAACCTCAGTAAGATCTCCACTTATTTTTATTTTCTCTTACTCTTACATTCCCATAATCTTCCTTGTAGCTCTTCTCTAGGGCTGGGTGATTAATTTAATTAGTCAGTATAACCAGTTAACTGTGAGAGTTGATTAGTGTCACTTAAATAATTTATTACCATTTCTTCATGGGTCCAGTTAATTTGACCAACCCCAGACTTGTGAAGCTAAAATGCTACATTTCTACTATATCTTAATTTGCTAAGTGTGTCTTAACGAAATCTGGAAAACTAATAATAAACATTAAAAGTCTTTTATACCAAAAAAAATTAAAATTTTCTTATTTATACTAAAGATTTGTCTGAATTTCTGAAGCATTTATTGAGTTACTTTGAGTGGAAGGTGATTTTCATGCTAAGACCAGAAATACTTTTATTATTTTGGAGTTTACATATTTCATTTTTATAACCTCTAGAATCTCCTAAAGAATATCAATTTTTGTTTGCAATATTTTATATTTATTTCTTCTGTTCTTTACCATAACAATAATAGTGTAAGTGATTGGTGGGTCAGTAAAGAAATCATTAATGTTCAGTTGAAAATATAAACTCCTCTGAACTTATTGCAGTATTGATACAAATTTACTCTTATTCTTTTCACACCTTTTTTATTTTATAGTTTTATTACAGTACCTTGTACCCAATGAGGTAGTAATCCTTGTGTTTAAACAAAGAATAAATCTTTGTGGAAGCTGTTAGCTTTTTTTGGCAGGTATAACATAAACAGAATATAAATTTATGCTGATAAATGAGAGGCATGTATTGCTTGTGAAATTGTAGATACTTTGTCACTATAGGTTTGTTAAGCTAAGCTGAGAAATTTATAATTTTTTGCATTTTAATTACTTTTGTTAAAGATATATAACAGTAAATTAAAAAAATACATTAGAAAAAGATTTGTAGTACTCACTGCATTATCAAACTCGTTTACACTCATAAGTCTGAAGCCATTTCTTTCCCTAGACTTTGTAGAGGCTCACAATTTTGGGTGTCCAGAAACTAACTTGTGTACCTTTCAAACAGGCATCTTAGAACATAGGAATATATATCATACACTAGAATAGAATGCCCCCCAAATTACTATAATTTACCTGCCTTCTTAGGTAAGCTATAAATAGGTTTAAAAATTTCCATAGCTGTTCAGAGCAAGAAAACCATGATCACACTACTAGGCATTTCTCTCCCTGGCAAGTTCAAAAGGACAGTTGTAAGCTTGATTTAGGGAAAAAACCTACTCTTTTATTGATTATAAATGTCTATCAGCTATGTAAAGTTGATTAGCAAATAACCTTGAAAGTCAGAAAAAGATGGGAAGGGGCTTATTTGGTGAGTTTGAAAATTTGTTTATTAACTGAGCCCAATAATAGTATATAGTGATGAGAAAAAAAGTATTGTATTACCCAATTTTTTACACTTTTCTTGGTTTCCTGTAATTTTTTTATGAGATTGTACATTGGGGAAATGTCAAAACTAGTGTAAAATGGTTATGAAAAGTGCGTAGTATAAGCCGACTCATATTTCCGTCATCCAGGCACATATGCACCTTTATTAACAAGCCAACCGTGACAAATGTATTAAGGCAGATGATCAACAAATACTTTGCAAATATGAAAATATTCTCTGTGTAAGAAAATTTAGGTTTAAAGTTAACACCACTAATTGACTAAAAGTTGTCACAAGAGTCTGTTTCTTGTTTTAATATTTAGTTGTGCCCCCTCTGACCTTGATAACTGATTGACATCTCTGGGGCATAGAGTGCACAAGGGACTGAATGTAAGCAGAGGTGAGTTAATGATGTCACCTTCAAATTAAGACTTCCTGCAGTTTCTTCTCTTGCACTTTGTTACCCATTACCTTTCAGCAGATTTCAATAGGGTTGAGGTCTGGGCTGTTGCTTGGCCAGCATAGTGTCTTTATACTCTCCCTTCAAAGATAGTCCTTTACCTAAAGCAACAAAATAGAACCTAAGATGTCTTTTCAATGTGTGTAGAGTGAAAGTTTCTCTTTATTTCACGTCTATCTTTTTTTTAGCCTTGTGCCATGGAGCAGAGTCATCTTGGAAGGTGCACTGGTCAGCTCCACCAAATTGATCTAAATTGTTGGCTTTAATTTGGACTTGAAGATTTCAATATACTTGTCAACATTAACATTGCCTTTCACAAAATGGAAGCGTCTCACACCCTGACCAAAGATGCTTCTCCATATCACCAGGTCCTGCAGATGCTGTACATTTGCATTCAAACACACTGTATGAAACTCTCTTTCACCCTGATGTAGTACAAGGTGCTTCCCATCACACCTGTGCAGATTGACCTTTGATTCATCTGAGAAAATCACATTTCTCCACATTGCTTCAATCCAGCCAGCAAGATGTTTGGCTTAGTTGAGCCTCATCTTTTTGGTGAGGAGTGGTTTCTTTCTTGGCCATCTTGCTGGGAGACTGGCTGAGCACGGGTGAGACCGGACACTGCAGGTGTTGGCAGTGACCCCTAAAGTTTCCTACCATGCTCTTTTGAGATCTTTGGACCAGAAGAGTCCCAGGGCTTTATCACTTGTTATTAACTTGAAGCTGGAAAAAGTCAAAATATACTTGGAGAACTAAAATTATGAAGAATTTGTTAGAGCTTTGTTCAATGACTTAGTGATTTATAACCTCTTTTTGGCTTATTTAATAGTTTTTTTTGTGTGTGATAGCTCAGGGTGGTTACTCTTACTATTAGAGCATTTTGTGCAGCTGATACTGCATGTTTTTATAATATAATAAAACATTAGTTTAATTTTGTTTGAGGGCACATTATGTTAAAATCAGTACACTAGATTCTTTAAAATGAAGTTTGATCAAGGGAAGGGTTCTGGAACATCCTGAGCAAACCATGCAAAATACACAGGACTATCATTTATCCAAGGATAAGGAGTAATAGGTGGGAAAGCTTTCTATTTGTTTATGTAGCATGTAAGATAGTGCTTAAACATTGTGATGGTTATTTTTCATTCACTGTTCTGTGAGTACCTTGTTTTTCATATAAGGATTTAGTTAAAATGTTATAGCTTGGAACACCTTAGTTATTGTGATCTTGTAATTCATATTACATATTATCAGATCAGTTATTAGTCTGATACTGTAGTCCTGTGTTCAGTTTAGATTTTTCATGCTCTGTTCTTAATTTATTTGCATGTATTATTGTAAGTTAGTTATAAATGGACTTTTACTTTTCTATGAAACTTATTTCATACTGACTTGAGACAACTTTAACCTCTGCTTAACTTTTTAATCTTTTTCATGTTGTAAAAAGAAGTCACACAATTCAACTGAACTTTGACTTTGTGTGTTTATATTGAAAAATATTGGAAAGCTGAATGAAAGTATTGTGTCAGAAAAAAAAGAGTATATATATATATATGGGTTATTTTTTTTTTTTTTTGTGAATTGTTGTAATAAATGTCTTTTACTTATATTTCTTAATAGTATACAATGTTTTTGTTGGGCTTAGGATTCTTCTACAATAGGTGTCTGACTTGTTAGCGAATAAATTCAATGATGAATAAACAGCACACACTTTACTATATATTTGGAACAAGTTAAACGTATGTACTGTAGAGATTACAGGCATATCATAAACACTATTTATATAGTTTTCTTCTTGTCAAAAGTCCACTTAGGCTTATTCAGTTACTTTAGAATTTCAGTTGACAAGTCGAACTATCTTCTCTATATTACTATCGTGCTAGTATTCTGTAGTTGTGGCACAAGCTACCATAATTCGTTTGGTTTTCTTTCTTCTGAAGATCATCTGTTCCTTTTGTTAAAGTGTATCCAGGCTGATTCAGTTACTTTAGATCCATGCTTTGACTGTGATAAACAGACAAAATAACATCTACATGTAATAACAGAGTTGAGATCAGTCTTTAGTGAACAGACTTACACTAATAATGACCAACAACTTGGTAATTAAAAATGTTCAATATGTCACGATACAAGAGACTGTTTGGTTTAAATATTAGTGATTAGTTTATATTTGTGAGTGAATACTTTATTATTTTTAAGTTTTGTTATAATAAGAGTTAAAAGCAAATGATTGTAGAAGGTTTTGTTAATTACTGATTGGTGTCAAGAATATAGAATGTGTCCAGACAACTATGTAATAAAGATATAAATAGCATGAGACAAGCGGGAAGCAGCAGACAGACAACAATGGACAGATAATAGCAAAAGAGAATATAGTTGTGTAAAGTTAAGTACTGTTGATGTGATAGGCCTAACGTTTAATATGTTAGAGTGAAACTGACAGTATAAAAAAAGATGTGAAGGATAATTTTATTCTTTTTTTGTTTGTTTGTTTGTTTTCTTTAAAAGGTGTTCTGTTACATGATCTGTTGTTGAAACCTGCTTGAGAAGAAACCATTTCAGTCTTCAGGACTTGTTCAAAAGAAAAAAAGTATCATGTATATTACACCAGATAAAAACTTGACAGATGACAGTGAAGATGAAGAGGTACAGTATTTTAATTAGTCTTTGTTTCACTAAGAATATTTTGAAATAATAAGAGGTATATAAGTTAAACAGTATTGTTTTATCAAGGGTAAAAGCCATCATTTCATACTCTCAACACAACAGAAAATCAGGATCAACTCAGGGATATCTTTATCTAGAACCAACAAGTTATGTTAGATGCAAGGTTTCTCAATTATGAGTGGATTTTCTTTGTACAATAACTACATATTAATATTTAAAAGAAGCATAATCAACATAAGGAAAAACATGTGCTTAGATACATTCATTGGCTCGTATCATGCAAAAGTTGCATTTAAATAAATTAGCTTTTGGACTACCTATCAGGATAAATATTTTTGTTTTGACAAGTTTTTTGCTCTCCTACTGGACAAAGACAAGGTCTGATCAAGGTTCCAGTATGGGAGCAAAAATTTGTTGAAACAAAAATATATTTATTATGATATATAGTCCAAACATTCATCCATCTAATAAGGAAAATCAAGGTGACAGAATGCATATTAAATACTCAATGATCAAAATTGTATAATATATAGTTAAAATTTGATTTCAAAACTGATCAGTGGTTGTAAAGAGGCACTCTACATGTTTCGATGTCAATCGTGTCATCCTCAGGAGTACCTTTTTTTATGACTGCTGATCAGTTTTTAAATAAAATTTTAATTGTATATTATACAACACTGAGCATTGAGTATTTTAATGTATGTTAGATATTTATAAAGGTTTCTTTGAACTTTATCCTATTATAACAGAATGCACTTCAACCTATCAAGGTCATCTCATCAAAAATTCTACTGTTGTTGATGCTAAATGTAACATTTTTCATGCATCTAACTCTGTTAAGATATTCAAGTTGTTGGCACACACTACTGAAGCAACATGTTAAACCTTAACATTTCTGAAAGAGAGAATTTTATCAAAGAACAAAGATTGAATCTAAGTTTCATGAGTAAGTACTCGCTACCTTTAACCTTCAAATGACCATTACTAATTTTATCAATCCGAAAATATAAAAATATATGTACAAGTAGTGTGTTTGGAATTTGAGATTGTATACTTTTCCCTTTAATACCCATATCATTTTATAATTGTTTTAAGGAGTTATTGACATTATATTTAGTTTGTTGAAATTCAGATGGTTGTTTTCATAGGGACCATCCCATTTTAGTGCTAGGGTTAAAAAAAAAAGGTCTCAGTTATATGGGTGATTTGTTATAATTTCAATTAACAACAAAAGTTAACCTACATTTATTATTGTTTTAGTGGCTGTATTTGTACCAGTGGTAATGTTATTTTAGTGGCTATATTTATATCATTAATGTTATGCAAGCATTAAATAATGAAATTGTTATAGAAGGGATACAATTAATCATGGCAGCAAATTCAGTATTTCCCAACCTTGTTATGAGCCTAGTATAATACTTGATAAAGAAATTCAGAATATATTTCAAAGCTTAGATTTCTCTAAAGCTCTGTAAGTGAACAGTCAATAGGCATAGTCTATGTTTCAAAATGGCATAACCTAAGCAATTATAAATATCATTATGGCTGTATCTGGTTGCGATTGAGAGTTGAAAATACATTATTGTGTATCCAGATTGGTAATGGCATAAAACTAACCATTAAAAGTATCTGAAAACTGGTATGTTCATTGTCTACATTTATTGTTGTTGTGTATGATAGTAGTTGAATAGCTTCTTGTGTTCTGGACTTAAAATAGTAATTTTGTAAAACTTGTTTTCCTACTCCTTGCACTTTGATAAATCTACATTGCTCTTGATTGCAATTGAGTGAGTAAGTATTTCTTCTGTACAATGAGATATAACACCAGTTATTCAAATAAATTATTCTCTATACATTACTGGGGCTATGCCAAAAAAAAAGTCAAACTTGTAAGCTATTGGAGCTGGGAATACCAAAAGATTGTTCTGTTTGCATATTAACTGTATAATTAAAATACCAGACAAGATGTAATTGTTAACAATGTTGAACACAAAATCTGATGTCAGATTCAGCAACAGTGAAAGCCCAATATTAGACTCCATGCTTGGGTGACCTTTCATGTACATTTTAAACCCCTCTCTAGTGAGGGGGGCCTATGCCCCCTAAATCTGCATGCCAAGTTTGATTCTGCTAACACCAAAACTGTGGGAAGAGTCCATGGATAAATAAGAATACAATGTGAATTAATATAGGATAAGGCTGATTATAAACTGTTATAAAGGATGTTTTCATCATTTAATTTTTACTGACACACACACACACTATATATATATATATATTCAAATGATCAAAGTATTGAGTCATTATGCTTCAATGTGAATGTCAGATTAACTGATATTTCAAATATTATGTATGCAGTTCATGTATTCATTTCTTGGCAACCTTGAACATGGCCTTCAGGAAAATGGAAATAGTACTGTTGATTTATAATATTATGTGTTGGTTTCCCTTAGAAATATTTGCCTCCCAGGAGTTTTCTTAAATAGAAAAATGAAAAGTTTGAAACCTTTTAAATTTGCCTCATTCAAAAGCATTTGGAGACATTTGTGTTAAGGGAAAGGGAAGTGACTGGAGGGAGGGGAAGACCAGTTTTTACTCTTAAAGCAAATAAAGATTTATCTTGCCAAGCCTATCATTTGTTTTAATGTTATGCATGACCATTTGGTCCCATTGAGCATTCTATGCATACACATTTGGATTTTTGGCATTGTCACCTAGTAATAAGTGGGCTTTAACTGTTCCAGTTCAGCAGGGGCCAAAGTTGTTTTTATTTGCATCATAGTTGACCATATTCTCAGTAGTTTCTAATGCACAATAAGAGATTGAAATGTAATTTATTTGAATAAGAGTTCCAATTCTTATAAGTCATAACATTAGAAGGAAAATTGCAGGTTCATTATAATGGCATTTGTTTTTCAACTGGAAATAGCAGGAAAAGGCAGCTAGTGTGAATGAGTACTATCTTGTAGTCCTTCAATATTTGTTGGATGTCTCTACAAGACTATAAATTCCAAAACATGCATACCTTTGCTGAAACTAATAGCTGTTTCTCAATCTTCATCTTTGCCATCTAACGTTGTGTTTGGCTGCTCCAGTCTTTATATACCTCACTTGACTGCTCTTGGCAGTATCTAATTTACAAAACTTTACACTGGCTCTCACATGCCCTCTATGCAGGTACTATATATAAGCCTTGTATGCAGACAATAAAATTGCTTTTTCTCGACAAAGCATGAGCATTCAGACTAATGTTTTGTGATTTACATTTTCTTAGTTTTCAATTTCTAATAATCTTGAATTCTTTGTTTTGTTATCCAGAGATATATTTCATTGAATCTCATTTTTGTTTTTTCCTACCAAAAAAAAAATTGATTCGGGTCAAGATGGAGTCCTTCTTGCAATCTGGGGTATCTCTCCTGGAGGTGCTGATTTGAATTTTCAATCTCTCACCAGATTCAACATCTATCGATGTCCTTAACTGCTTACCCCCTTGTAAAAGTTTCTGTGCTTTTGAAAAATTGTTAGGAGTTTTGCATCCTTCATATAAACATAAGAAACCTTATGTTTTTTAATTAACCTCCACCGTGTGTGTTTATATATAGATAGGATATAGATACACATGCACACACACACACACGTCCCTTGCGAAGATATTCTGCTCTCATAATACTGTTTGTTTTTTAACCACTATACAAGAAATATTGAATCATAATTATTTGTTACATCAAAGCTATATAATGTGTTTATGAATGAAAAGAAAGAGGTATTGAAAAATACTTGGACTATCTATTTGACCATATGCAATTAAACAGTACAAGAAATTGTAGAAGCTTATTTTGTACATGTCAGTTAACACATGATAATATATAAGTATTTTAATTACATTTTCATTAATGAACAGATTGGTTTTTCATATCATCATATCAGTATTTATGGCAGGAAAAAGGTGTCTAGAAGTAATTATTCAAAAGTTTTATTATTTCAGGTTGTACATGAATAATCTTATATACACATTGAAATCTATTATATGGAAAATTTGTAATATTAATTTGTGTAACATGATAATTAGATTTGTACTGCATGTCCAGTCCAAGCCACATTTTCTTATTTAACTAGTTTCTCTCAATTAGTAGGGAAAATTGTAAATCACTGATAATGATAACTTGTTTATTGAAATAAATCATGAAGCTACTTTTTTTTTCAGATAGTGACTGTCGAGATTAAAGAAGAATTATCCAGTGACACAGCGAGTGATGTAGGTTTACAGTTAAGTGTGACTGATGAAGAATTTAACTATGAAAATTTAGAACACGATAACAAGGATCTTTTGGGAGAACATGAGGAAGTTTCAGAAGAAATAAAATCTGAAGAGGAGTTTGCATTAGCAATAAACTCTAGTAAGTTTAACTTTAGAATTACCTCATACACATGCATGTCAAACTCCTAAAAATTATTTAAACTAAAGTTATGTTTGTAGCATATGGGCTGTTACATGGCTGCATTCAAGGAAATTAAACAGTTCTTTGAACAATTTATGCAAATCATTCAAGTCTTAGTGCATAAATAAGCAAAATATTGTAAATTATATGTGCTATAGAAGCAGCGTGTGGCCATATAAAAGCTAAATGTAATAAAGAAAGAATTCAGAAGATTGATGATGCACAATTTGGTTCCCAGTGTTATGTATAGGTTCCAATTATTAGGTTTCTTCACATACTACAACTTTATTATATAATAAAAGTATCAAAAGAAGTAATGACCCCCCCCCCCCTTTATTTATTTATTTTTTTGAGCTATGTTATAAAATCATCAGCATTTTAAACAGTGAACATTATGGTTTAACTAATTGTTAAAATTACACTGAAAGTAAATTGTTAAAATGATGTTCTTGATTGAATTATTTTTAATATGTGGGGGTCCAAACAATTATGTGACTGATTACAAATTTATACCACGAAAAAAAAATAACAGTTTCAAACTTACAATTTGTGGTGGATGAAGGGCAGAAGCATGCCATAGTAAGTGTAATCACATCACATATAACATATGTGTAATCACTTAATACGTCATTAACATGACAGAGAAGGCTGTTTGCATTCTGTGGCTAGCAGAGATCAAATCATCTAATCTTTTGCAAAGATGATATTGTAGCAAGTATAAAAAACATCTACTGGTTAAGAATTCTATCATAAAGCTATGCCAGTAGTTTCAAAAGACAGGAAGCATTGTTATACAAAGAAGAAGCTGAAATATGCTGATATGGTCACCTGTGGACTATTTCTCTAGGGTTATGTAAATGGCATTGTCTACAGGGCAAAGGTGAGTGGTCTGGGATCATTACATAAATGCTAGTAAACACATGGATGGAAATTGTATGTCGGTGTGATATATTGAGGACCACAAATTGAGTACATGTAGAAGTATGTTGATGTCAAATGGTGTGTGACACGAAACTGCATATATCATCCCTCACAAACCAGAAGTTTGTAATATGTCACATAATTTTTGGACATGCTGTAAAAACTGTATGAACAGTTTCAATAAACATCATAAGAAATAAAGATTGCACAACTGGCATTCTTCTCCAAAAGTGATGAATTTGGATTAATTGGACTAACCTAAATGATTCTTATGTTATTCACGATATATGTAAATGTAATTTCAGAAATGCTACTTACCTTTCCACAGAATAGAGTTATTACCTCATTTCACTACTGAAAATGTTTTGTGCATATGCCAAGCCCTTGAAAGTGTTCTCTTTTATTTTCTTGATTTTACAAATTTCAGTTAGAACTTCTGATATGAATTATCTTTTGATTTCTTCTAATAATAAAATTATGAGATTTGAGATGCATGTTCCAGAGTCTGTGATATGATTTATTTTACAGGACTATTTTCTCTCGTTATTCACCCAGAGTTCAGGTTTTTGTACATAATCACTTTCCATCATTATCAAGGTCTATGTACAATGGACATATGACAAAAACTTCTCCATGAATTCACTATTTTTCTGGATCTTATTGCATTTATTTATCATATCCACATTTCTGAAACCTCCCTTTGTCCAGACTCTTTGTCATAGGAGTTATCTTGTTTTCTTCTCTTGTATACTGTAATTAGTTGGTCTCTTACCCAGGACTCAGAGACTCTTGCTTCTATACCTTCTACTGAATTTACCTTGTCTTTGAAGGTGTTTTCCCATAATCTGTCTTTGCTTCTGTTTATTTTATTCATGACTAGGATCAGGTAACACCCACCTTGTCCATTGCTGTTTCTTGGCTGAACTTCATTCATGCACCTCAACTCATTAGATGTTTTTCTCCCTTTTCCTCCCTCCCATTTATTGCACCACAACTCATAAAGTGTTTTTTTTTCCTCTCTCACCTCTTTCTCCATCCTTGGGTCCATGGTCCATAGGAGTTTTTTTTTTTTCATTCAAGGCTCACATCTGTCTGTTTTCAGTTAAGTTGTGAGGGCATTTGCACAGAGACTGCACTCAATGATGTCTGCAGTTCCACCACAGGCTAGACATTTGACAAGTTCTATTCCCTGTACTGGGAGGTATTATCTGCTGTGACCCTCCCTTCATATCAAACCTCAACCTATTCCTAATACTTTTACCCAAGACTACATGGTAGCCAAATGTTAAGCCTACTCTGTATCCAGTTAATACTGAAAAAAAAAAAGTATTCAATCTTAACAAATCTAACTAAAATACATTATAAAAATTATTGTAAACTTCTAATAATATCAAAATAATGCTTGTCATTTATGATAAAATTCAATTTTGATGTTAAGTGTCTTACATATCATTGCAGCTGTATATGGTTTAATCTATTAATATTTCACTATTTATACATTAGAGTAACATCTGTTTGCTCTGTTTTATTTTTGTTTTCAATAGGAATTGTACATTCTGTTAAATTTTTTTCTGTGTACAGTGTTGTTTTTTTCACTTAGCATGAGAATGTTAAAATAATAAAACCTAGGTAAAGTGTATATGAAGAAGTCAGAGTTAGAAAAATATTTATATATTTCTATGCATTTTCATTCATAATTCATTGCATAAAGAAACAGTTAGCTTAGAATTTCACATACTGATGCTGTTGTATTTGTTTTTGTCTGTTAATACTTTTTTTCTGTCATCTAGGGTTTTACAGTAGGGCCCTGCAAATCACAAATGTTTTTGAATTGAATCATCCCATATATAGGTTATAGGGTACATAGGGTGAATTAAATTTTAAATCAAATAGGAAATGATTTCTTTATTTATGTGGAGTGCTTCTACACGCAATTAGTATTGATATAAAAATAAATCTTTCTAAAAACAAAAAATATAATGTACTTAAACATCTGGAAGAAGAATGATGCAAAAGTGTTCTTACAAGTAAATAGTTCCAGTATATAGACAGAATTAAAAGATAAATAAGGTTTACTGGAAATGACATAGATTCCAGAATATCGAATCAGAGCCCAAGCTAACGAATCAAATCAATTCTTGAAGACTTGCAGGGCCCTATTTTACAAATAATGTTTCTCATTGCATGAAATATAGCTGTATAATTATCTTATCTGCTCGTAGGTTCTGATGACCGTGAATGTAATCAATCTGAAACATGTTTCTCACCAGTGGATGTTATAGTGTCATATCAGGAATTCCCCAAGAATGATTCAAATTCTACGAATCATGTGCATAAGCAGTACAAAGATAGTAATAGTCTTTCCTTGAGTAATGGATATAGTCCTCTGGTACAACTTAAAGAATATGAATGTGGTGTTTTTGGGAAGAAAACTGAAAATAAAAAAATAAAAGGCAAGAATATCCAAACTCGTAAGAAAGGAAATTCGTTCAGTTGTGACATCTGTGGGAAAACGTACTTCAAGAGAAATCACTTAAGAGACCATCGAATGCTCCACACAGGAGAAAAACCATTTAGTTGTGAAGTATGTGGAAAGGATTTCATTAAGGAAGGAAATCTCAGGCAACATCAGTTGATCCATACTGGAGAAAGACCATACAGTTGTGACATCTGTGGGAAAAGTTTTAAACGAGTTAATAATTTAAGGGATCATCGAATTCGACACACTGGAGAGAAGCCATTCTTTTGTGATTTATGTGGGAAAAACTTTCCAACGAGTGGAAACCTAAGACATCACAAATTGTTGCACACTGGAAATAAACCTTTTAATTGTGACATATGTGAAAAAAGCTTTAAAATGAAACATCATTTAGATATGCATCAAACTGTGCATACAAGAGAGAAACCTTTCTCTTGTGATGTTTGTGGGAAAATGTTTTCAAGAAGTGGTCATTTAAAGCAACATAATTTGATGCACACTGGAGAGAAACCATTTGCGTGTGATGTGTGTGGGAAAAGGTTTGGAACAAATGGAAATCTGCAACATCATATGCTAATGCACACTGGAGAAAAACCATTTAATTGTGAGATATGTGGGAAAAATTATAGAATGAGCCATCATTTAAAATTACATCAGAGAATGCACACTGGAGAGAAACCTTTCTGTTGTGATATTTGTGGAAAGAAATTTTCAAGAAACCAAAATCTAAAACAGCATAAAAACAAAAAACATTTGATTGCGTTACCATCTGACCAGTAAAAAAAACAAAAAAAGTATAGAATGAGAAACAAATCACTAGGTTATGTGGGATAAACTTAGAGCAGTTGATTAGAGAAAATATTAATAGTATATAATGTGAACCCCCAGACAAAAAATATCAGAGTAGTGTATGTGACAAATTATAGTAATAGGAACTTATGAGCATTAAAAACTTTACAATAAACAGTAACAACAAAAACAATTGCATTTAATTGTATGCTGAAGAGAGTAACCCTTAATAAAACAAGTACTGTAGAATACCTTATCTTCATAATCCTTGAAACCGTTAACAAACATTCCATTAATTGACTAACTGGAAGAACAAGAAACTATGAATGTTATGGCCTGTATGTGTAGAAACGTTTTACTGGTAAGAGGAAGAAATCTGTGGGCAATGGACCTGTCACTTATGAAATGTATTAAATAAAATGAACATCATTTATGTTAAATATTTAGGAACAAAATAAGAAACTGTTCTTTCTTAAGTCTCCTATTGGTTAATATCGCTTAGTTGTAAGGTCTTAATTAGAAAGTTTCGTATATTTACTCGTATTTTAATATACTTTAGTTTCAGGAAGATTTAAACATATGTTCAGAATTTCGAGGAAAAGCCTATAATGTTCTAATCCATGTTGTGCTTTACAGTAAGGTTATAAATGCTATTATAAATACAAAGCAAGTAAAACTTTGACTTCAAAATTGTAATTACTCAATGCTTATCATTCTCATATCAGACTTTTAACATCCATTTTCGTTATTATTTCGTTAAACCGCACACAACACAGTTTGGGACCTCTATTGTCATCGTGTTTAGATATAATAGCCAAAATTATGTACATTTGTTCAAACTACAAGTGCTTAAGACCATTGTTTTATTTTTGTTGTCTTGTGAACGACAGAAATTTTGTATTAATGTGTGTTTATTTTATTAATTTTCCTTTTGTACGTTCAACATAAAATCAACTGTTAAAACTTCAGTGTGAAACATGTAGTCAATTTGTCGTGCTGAAACGTGTTCTTTAAAAAAGGTTTCTAAAAACTGTATTTACCTTGCTTGTACGTTTAATATATTGAAAAACAGTAACCTGAATACTTTCAAGAATAGTATTAGTAATGTTTATTAACAAAATAAACGAAAAGTTTAGTAGTTTTAGGTCTCGTGAGTTTGGACCATCGTGATCGATAAGTTATACAACAAAAAATGTTTCCTATTAACGCTAACTCAGTTCAGTGTATGACAAGTTTCATGTTAATTGTGGAATATAGATTACTTTGTAAATGGTGATACGAATCCAATACATTTTATAAGTACCCCCTGTTGGTAAGCGGTAAGTTTATGGACTTACAACTCAAAAATCGGGGGTTTGCAGTTCGATTCCTTAATGTGGACAGAGCGGAGATAACCTTCTTATGTAGTTTTGCGCTAAACAACAACTTTTTTTCTTTCTTTTTTACTAAAGGTGTTAAATTATTATGATGAGTTTTAAGGAATTCCGGTTTCATCATCATGTCGACAGAGTCTGATTGAGTTTTATTACTTTAAACCCTTGGACGTTCAAGGGATGTAGGAGCTGCTATCGTTATTACTTGTATCATTAGCTCGTGTAACACTTCTTTATTGGATGTAGACGTTGCAAGATTCGGTTAGTTCGGTGTGTATTTAAAACTGAGATTGGACTTATTGTTTAGCTTTATCAACCATGTGACGAGATGAAAATTTGATGTCCTAGTAAGTTTAAACTGTGGCTCAGTAAATTGTTAGGATAATGTACTTAAAAACACAATGTTTCTGCAAGTTTACTAATACACAAAAAGTATTTTTAAAATCGGTTTCTTCTGTACGTCCAGCTGTGTGGTTTTCAAAGTGAACGTCATTATGACGCTGTTGTCATTATTACTAGGAATTCCATCTTTAGTGACATTTTGGTTATTGCTTTGCAATAAATATATATACCACAATTATGCTAGTACAACTAAAACCCAATAAAACATGGTGTAGATGTGTCTTTTCAGTCATTTTGTTGTGACTTGTGTATCTGTAGTGCTTTTAGCCCATTAAACGAAAGATTTGGGAACAAATAACGATCATTAAAATGACTCATTTAACATTGCTGTATTCATTCTTCATCTCACCAACAATATAAAATTAAGTGCTAAAAAAATATAATTATGACTAAAATGTGTTGACAGTTGGAAGAATGACAATGAGCTTCAGATTATTAGTTATTTAATTTCGTTAAAAATTTTTGTTCTTTTGAACCTTTATCGAGAAGTAGAGCTACTTGATAAGCCAGGTTTGATGTAATAAAATACAAGTTTAAAATGTATTTGAAGTAAAAGTCACATTCATTATGTAATATGGGCCGGGCGTGGCCAAGTGTTTAAGACTCCAAGGTTCGTGTTCCGTTGCCGCAAGATTCCGCTTCGTACTCTGGGGCTGTGGGTGTTGATTGTGGGGCTTATCACTCTTGAATAGCTTTGCTCAAATATCCGAAACAGACAAACATCGTGTAATGTTGTTAAAATAACTTTGAAATAACAAAGTGAAGAATGTCATCTTGATTAAAAAGGCATTATAACCGAATGTAGTGAAAATATACATAAAATAGTTTTATGTGCGATAGATAAACATCTAAAACTCGCTTGGAAAAATAAACGCGAGTATTTTATCAAGATATGCTTGTGGATTTTCTTCCACCATTAACGTACATAGAAGTATGTATAAATAAAAACCTAAGCTCGCTACTATAAGACAAAAGAGAATCGATCTATCTGAGCTGATGAAGAGTTGATACAGTTGATCAAATCTGGGTTGGCTATCGAGCGATGTGAAATCTATTTATTTATTGTAAATCTAATGATGTTACAATACCTCTCCGAGTAATATTATTAATGACTGATAGATGTATTGTTTTACGTTATATATATATAATTATAACTTCTAGGATTTGCTATGAAAATGTGTTAGTGGTTTTATTATTTTTGTGAACAGAAGTTAACCAATTTCACAAAATATACATTGGCCTCTTTCCAGATATTTGGAGAGAAGGGTATTTTAACGGAATGTTTGACGTGTTCAACTATGACGTCTTTAGCCTATTAGCTACATTAATTATTATATATCTATCTCTTCATTAAGTTTAGGCCACTCGGTAGCTCGACGATAAGTCTGAGGACTTATAACGGTAAAAATAGGATTTCGATACCCGCGATGGCAGAGAAGATAGTCAAATGTTTAGCTTTGCGGTAACAACAAACATTAAGTTTACACCGAAAATTGTTTAAGTTGTTGAATTATAGACGTAAAGTAATTCATTCTTACATTTTTATATGTTGAATTATCTATCAAAGAATCAAATGAAAATATAGCAAATCATATAAATATTCCGACATTTTTTTCCAAACCGTATAGTTCACACTAACAAAGTGAAAATTAACAAACGAAAATATAGAAAGGAAGCTGTATTAATTATTCAAACCTAGTGCAATTACTTTGTGCCATACAAACAATAATAAAGTTATATTTATTAAACTAGCCTTGTGGTTAGGATATTCTACTCCCGATCTCTGTGCTGCGCGCGTTCGAATCCCATCACCGAACATGCTTATGGTTTCAGCTGTGGGAGCGTTATAATATGACGGTCAATCACTCTACTCTATTAGAGTAGCACAATAATTGATGGAGGATGTTGTTGACTAGCTGCTTTTCCTCTAGCCTATCACTTCAAAATTAGAGACGGGTAGCGCGAAATATAGCAAACAAACGTCTATTCCTTTATGATACAAAAAAAGAGAGAAAGAAAAGCGCTTATCGGAAGACAAAAGTCAAGCGTCGTTGAATATGGAGAACACTGTGCGCATGAACAGTTCGGTAAGATGTGTCCAATACTTCAAGAAAGCACTGTGTCCATGAACAGTTCGGTAAGATGTGTCCAATACTTCAAGAAAGCACTGTGTCCATGAACAGTTAGGTAAGATGTGTCCAATGCTACAAGAGAGCGCTATGTCCCTCAACAGTTTGGTAAGACGTGTCCAATACTTCAAGAGAACACTGTGTCCATGAACAGTTCAGTAAGATGTGCCAAATACTTCAAGAGAACACTGTGCCCATGAACAGTTCAGTAAGATGTGCCAAATACTTCAAGAGAGCAGTGTGCCCATGAACAGTTCTATGTGTCCAATACTTCAAGAACACAGAAGTACATAATAGGGTGGTGTTTCGTCTCGTTGGAAGAAAAACGCCATCCACTTCCAAGTGTTTTCTAGTCTGTCCAGATACGTGGGCGCCTGCAGGAAGGAACATTTGCTCCTTTTACATTTCTCAAAATGTGCGTATTATGATGTAAACTTAACATCGTAGATAAATCAAATATTTTTAGTAATTTTTATCACAACTGTAAATTTGTGTTTGCGTTTAAGCACACATAATACACATTATTTTAGTCTGTTGACTGTAAAAGCTGATTCTCTACATACATGTTTTGCCCTCCACATTACCGAAAATATTTCTGTGGGCGACCAGGTCCAAATACACGAATCCAGTGAGAAAACAGTGTTTTTACTTATGCAGCATTCTTTTTAGAACATATAGTTCCTGTTTCCTTAAACTATTTGCCTTTCTTCATTTAAAAGCTAGTATTCAAAATATTTGGCCAGGTGGTTAGGGTGCTCGACTCGCAATCTGTGGGTCGCGGGTTCGAATCCCCGTCCCAGCAAACATGCTCGTCCTTTCAGTCATGGGTGCGATATAATGTAACGGTGAATCCCACTATTCGTTGGTAAAATAGTAGTTTTTTACAAAGTGACATGTCTTGACTGTGTTTTAGTAGACTAGTATTTAGTAAAATACAGTAACATTTCAATTATTATATATGTATATAGATTATTATTATTTAGAAATAAGTTATTAAACATATATTTCTTAAAACATAGAAGCAAACAATTATCTCTTTTAGTTATGACCTTCATACTTAGTTGATGCTCGACGTAGGTTGCTAAGCCTTTTAAAATTTCACACGTGGAGGATATGAAACGAAATAATTTTTTTTAGGTTTTATATATACAGTTGGATAACCAAAAATCATACATTCCTCTATCTATATCATAGAATTCCACTATAATTTATCAAGCTTAGTAACTAAGCTGTATTTCGGCCAGGTGGCTAGGATGTTCAACTACCAGTCTCAGGGTCGCGGGTTCGAATCCCCGTCCCACCAAACATGCTCGTCCTTTCAGCCGTGGGGGCGTTATTGTGTGATGGTCAGTCCCACTATTTGTTGGTAAAAGAGTTGGCGGTGGGTGGTGATGACTAGCTGCCTTCTCTTTAGTCTTTCGCTACCAAATTAGGGACGGCTAGCGCAGATAGCCCTCTTGTAGCATTGCGCGAAATTAAAAACAAACCAAGTTAACGATTATTACCATTCTACAGGGTGTCTGGACCCATAGGAAAAAATACACAATTTATTCTTACTTTATTTATTATTAAAATTGCTTGTCATTGATAGCCATACACATATCAATTATTGGTATAGTGGGCGATCATGGTATTTTCTTTCCTGAAATATGTACATAAAACTGACGTTACAAGTGTGTTTGACGTTAAGTATATGTCTATTTTCCATATGGGTCCAAATTTCTAGGACACCCTGTACATTTTCATAGCTCAAACTATATTCATAACAGTCACTGTACCACTTTATGGAATGAGTAAACTTCACTACAGGAGGATATGACACAGAAACTGGACCAAGCAAGTATAAGCCTCAGTGAATAATCGTTGTGGTTTTCAAACTTTGATTAAGCTAGAGGATTTATGCAAGCTTACAAACTTTGTCGATCCTGGCTGCGTGCAAATATATGTTAACTGAATATATCCAACAGGAATATGTACTTTACTAATTACGGAAGGGTGTAATTGGTAGTTCTTTCAGCTGCGACATCACGATAATTTTAAAATTTAGAATATCAAATATTTTCCACGGGCATAATATGTTCACGAATATATTGTATATACATATATTTACTTTTGCACATTGTTTTTACGGTATTTGTATGTTTAATGACAAAGGCACATTGATCAATTTTTAAACAGCATAAAGTGGTTAAAAAAATGACTAACCTCTAAAGAACTTAAATAAGAGGCATGTTTTTAAAAAGTATACTCACTCGTTTTGTCCATATATATATACAACAAAGCACATGACTTTAAAATTACACGCGTTTAGCCCCCCAGTGGCACAGCGGTATGTCTGCGGACTTACAATGCTACAAACCGGGTTTCGATACTCGTGGTGGGCAGAGCACAGATAGCCCATTGTGTAGCTTTGTGATTAATTACAAACAAACATACACGCGTATGTATATGTGTGTGTTGGGGTGTAAATATACATATATATATAAGCGCATAGTTCAAAATTGTTGATAAGGGCACTAAGTTTCTTCTCTGGTAATGTTTTATATGATGTTAATTAACGGAGTGGACGTGGGAAATTCTGATTTAACATGATAATACCATATATGTTGGGTTTGGCTAAATTATTGTTAGAAGAAGCAGATTTTACTGACACCAATGACTATACTAAAAATGACAAAACAACAACATTATATTTGTACAGTTCACTTTCTGCTTTTATAATTCGCCCCCAATGAGAGCACTATGCCCATCAACAGTTCGGTAAGTTATGTCCAACACTTCAAGAGAGCACTATGCCCATCAACAGTTTGGTAAGTTGTGCCCAATACTTCAAGAGAGTACTGTGCCCATGAACAGTTCGGTAAGTATTGGTTTTCGATCCCCGTGGTGGGCATAGCACAGATAGCCCATTGTATAGCTTTGTGCTTAACTTCAAAACAAACAATTTTTTATTATATTTACCCCCAAAAAATTTTTAAAATCCTTGCTCGCAAGCTATAATATTGTTGAAAGTTGGGAAAAGTAAAATTTTGATCACGTTGAAAAATATTAAACTGTAACTTCAGTCTAAAGTGTAATATTCCGAACCCTGTGAAATTGTAATATGTACATGTGATATATGCTTTAGATCACTTGAACAACATTTGCCGTGACTTATTTTAGCGCA